ACACACACACACACACACACACACATATATATATATATATATATATATATATATATATATATATATATATAATATATATATATATATATATAAGGGAAAGAAGTGTATACCTAAGGGCTCGTTTTTCCGTGTTTTAACACAATATTAATGAGATCTAACAGACAGTAATGCCAAGGAATGTACAGGGGAAGTTATTAGAACCAATGGAATGTAAATGAGAAGAAAGAAAAGTGGATGAAAAAATAGTGGATGAAAAAATAACCAGCCGTGGGCAGGAATCGAACCTACGACCTTCGAATAACGCGTTCGATGCTCTAACCTCTGAGCTACCACAGCGGCCTTCCCTCCATCCACTTTTTTGGGTTTATATGTGAATTGAGAAGTAGGAGTGACCATCAGCGCCATCTATAAGCCAAACGGCAAGTGTGAAAACACTCTTATGCGCATGTTTGGCGTCACGTAGCACGTGAACCTATTATGAGCTGGCAGCTGATTAATTGTCTCTCTTATACAACCTAAACACACCAAGTCTGCCAGTACGAGACCCTCGTTCAATGAATTAAGGGAAAGAAGTGTATACCTAAGGGCTCATTTTCCCGTGTTTTAACACAATATTACTGAGATCTAACAGACAGTATTGCCAAGGAATGTACAGGGGAAGTTATTAGAACCAATGGAATGTAAATAAAAAGAAAGAAAAGTGGATGAAAAAATAACCAGCCGTGAGCAGGAATCAAACCTACGACCTTCGAATAACGCGTTCGATGCTCACAGCTGCACTTCTGTTCTAAGTGCAGCTGTCGTCTGTTTTCTGCTTTATTTTACTACCCAATCAATTGTGCCATGCATGACATGCCCAACAGCAGCCCTGTGCACAGCCGGGAGGCCCCCACTACACGCGTAATACAGAAGCGGGCAAGGAATTCGCATTGCGCCCGCTTACCAGCCTCTACCGCAATACGGGGCACCCCTCTTTTTACGACGAAATGTTGACAGGGCGCCGAGTAGTTAAAAGCTTAGAACTTCCTAAAATGCCCACTTACCAGCCTCTGCCACAATACGCAGCACCCCTCCTTCTACGACGAATTGTTTACGGGACTCCGAGTAGTTAAAGGCTTAGAACTACCTAAAAAAGCTCTTTTTTGCCCCACACCGAACCGCTAGTGCCAGGAAGCGCCGTCTGGCCGGGAGGAATGCGTTAGTGAAAGGAAACATACACAGACCGCTGACATCAGAAAGGTGATGGGAGAAGGGGGAGAGAGATGAAGGGGGAAGTGGAGGGAAAAGTGGAGGGGGAAGTGGAGGGAAGAGTGGAAGGGGGGCGCCCGAGGGGAGTCCACCGTATATTATTTTTCTCTTCTTCTTCTCTTTTCTCTTCTTTTTCTTTTCTTTTTCTTTTTTTTCCTTTTTTCTTTTTTTCTTTTCTGTCTTTTTTCCTCTTTCCTTGCTCTCTGATTTGAGATTGTATAAAGCTGAGTACCAACAAACTGTATCTTTAATCCTGATGAAGGCCAGACTCTAGGCCGAAACGTCGAAATAGACCACGTTGTGACCGCTCACGAAGGATCTACTGGACTATATGCAACGCTACGGCCACTCAACCACCATGCCTACCTATATATATATATATATATATATATATTATATATATATATATATATATATATATATATATATATATATATATATATATATATATATATTGTTCTGCATGAAAAAAGGTAGAGGGGGGCGGGCCCTTCGGGCCTTGTATTGTGGCCAAAAGAAGGAGTTGTTCATATGTAGTTCTTCTTGTCTGTGTTGGGAGGAGGCGGCAATTCTTCATCCTTTCTTCGTTTAAATGATCGCTTGCTCTGGCGGCCCCTCTTATTTACCTCTCGTGACAATACTTAGATAATCCGCCTGCTTCCGTAGGCTTCCCATCGTTTCTCTTTCAGCTTTTCTTGTCCTCGCAGACGAACACCCTAGCAAGGCAACTGTCGTTGTCACGTTCGCCGTCAGTGTTCTCTCTCTCTCTGTGCTGTGTGTGTGTGTGTGTGTGTGTGTGTGTGTGTGCATGCGTGCGTGCGTGTGTGTGTGTGCGCGTGTGTGTGTGTGCTGAGTTATGATTACTGCAGCAAAAACTACTCTTAGAGCATATAAGTCAGTATAACAAGCTATGTAACTTTAAAAAAAATGATGGATCAATGTGATGGTAATTCGTTCATTCAGCCTCGAAGTGGGGCATCGCGGCAATTAAAATTTTTTTTTGGAGAGCTGTACTCGCGGTATGTCACTTCTTCATAACATCTTTACAGAAAGTTCTATGCGGACTAATATACGCCTATTCGTTCATTGGGCATACCTAGAAATTTACAATTTTAGAAATGCGAATCGAAACGAATTCAAATATTGAAATATTCGTTGGAATATTTTCAGTGCACGAATATTAGCACAAGTTGAGTTTTCTTACTTATGAATGGTTTTCTCGAGTTCCTGAACACACCCCGGCCACTCCTTTTTTAGCAGGCGGCCGCGGGAATTCCCCAGCCTATACGGCGAAACCCACAATCAGTAGAGGAGGAGACGAACACTTGCTTCAACCGCAACCACCTGATCACTGTCGCTGCGAACCGCGACATTTCATAGCATGCCACCAACTGCATGCGACCCGCGGTGCGCGCCTTCGACTTAGCACGGGTGTGTGTCGACTGGCCTGATGGAAATTTAACATTTTGTCAGGTATAACGCCTTTCGGCAGCATGTGCCGTTTTAATGGCATGCGTCCCGCTCTATGCTGCACACTACCTGGTGCCATCCGGCAAATGCAATCTTCCGCATTCAACCACATGGGTGCATGGGCAAAAACTTCCTTGGTTACGCGAAAAGCAACAAGCAAGTGGGTGGAGATGAAGTCCAACCGTAGCAAGCAGCGCTGCATGGTTATTGAGGTTGTGATTTCGTCCACACCAATGGCTTTTTTTTTTCAAGAGCGTAGCACTTTGTGGTCCTGTCGTATCGTCCACCTAACGTCTTATAGTCGGATGGCTAACAATGGTTATAACCACTGTCAAAGTAGCTAACGAGCTCGAAATAGGCTGCAGAAAGAGCCTAGAAATACCTGAAATTGGAGAAAACGCTTCTGAAACATTTTGCCGATAACCGCGCCACGCAACAGACAGCGCCACCGCCTAGGCAAGCATAGAATTCCTTGGTGCCCGCACTTTAATTCTAGAGGCAAGCATGTGATTGTCACTAATCGCTGGATTTCCCGTGCTTTGCACTTCCTAAGGTCTTACGGTAAGGTAGCTGCATTAATAGGGTAGCAACATCTTTATTCTGAGCCGAGTGTACTCGGCCATACAAATTTCCTGCATACAGATATGGTTCCGAGCAAGTGTGACACTCAGCGAATTCTGATAATATATTTAGGTTTCATATTAAAGGCAATTTTCTCGCAGCCTTCCTACCGACTTTGGCGCTAACTTGGCGTCAGGGTATAGAACCAAACCTGTCGACTTCACGCAGTGGTCTGGCTAGTTTCGCTGACGTCAAGCAGCAAAACACACAAAAAAAGCAGCTGGCGCGTCGCATTCTCAATCGTCTGCTCTCGCCGTGTACAGTCGTGCGGTCATGTCATCCGGCGTACCTGTGAAGCGAGATGGCGGAGTCTGGAATAGTGTACGTACACATGAATACAAGATACACGCTTATCAGAGGCCAGATGAATTGTTTGATTTCGAATTTGTCGTCAGCGTGCCGTTATATTGTCCGGTGAAGTCTTCCGCCAATGAATCGGCGGACAGTTGGTGCAACGTCCACCGATTCGCGTCCGATCCGGCGATGAGACAAGCTATACGTCGACTTAGTGTGCCGCGGCCGAGGGGGAGACTGCACGCCAACCAAGCGGAGTTTACTCAGTTCGCTGCTCTTCACTCCGAACGCGTACACACGCAACATGCAGTTTTTGACCGGCTTCAGATTGTCGACGAAGAACCTGCGCAATAAAAGTGATGCCATGCCAACATTGTGCCCCCCCCCCCCCCCCCGCGCCGTGGCAGTAGCTGCATATACGGCGCGCAGATGAAGCAGACGATCGAAGAAGCGACACGCGGACGTAAATGAGTCACGAAAAGTTGCGCGTGCACATACAATACCACCTAGTGGTGCTGCTCATACTATGTCGTCCCGTCAGGGTACAGTAGCGACCTAAACTATCTCTTAAAAGCATGCAGTAATTTCAGGGCACACTCACGCTTACCGGTACATTTGCTACGCTCTCGGAGGCTTGGCCTATCATTTGACGAAAAAAAAAACGATAAACGAAAAATCTCTTGTCAGTTCCCCTTTAGGCGCGTGATTTTTAACTACACAAGGAAACGAACGCTGCATCATTCACAGTGTAACTTTTCTGAGATTTACTTCATTTTCCTTTTTACTATTCCTATACCGCATGTAATATAAGAACTAAAGATTACCCCTTTCTCCATGTATACTGAAACAATTTAAATAGTTCCAGCTCTAACAAAGTATATGCAATACTGTCCTCGTGGTATAATATTTTCTGTGGCTAAGAGTTCCAATCCTGTGCTTCCTCCATGTTTTAAAACCCCTGATTTGACGTGTTAGTGCTTTAGCGCTCTGCCAGTGTCGTGAGCACCGGTACCATAATCACATATGAGTCAGTTAATCAGCAAGTCACCTGATACGGCATGTGGTCAGAAGATTTATCGGGTCATCGGAAGGCCAATGGTCGCCCATAGCATTATCTTCCATAAGCTACTGGCTTGGTGGCGAGAAAGTGTGCCGACTAACGCAACACTGGAGCCCTGGGTTCAAATTCTCACAAGAGACAGGTACTAAAACCCTTTTTATTCAACACATACTATTACTAAAATGGTTTGTACAAGACTGATGCGCACCTGCTGATAACGCGACATTTAATCTACCATTACATGGTCTTGAAGAATGCTTGGCTTAATATGCATGCTTGACTTCTCAACATGCTTTGTCTGCCACAGTCTGCTCCAAGCGGCCAGCGACGATTCAGCCCACCGCCTCAGTCGGTACCTGCCCTGGCTCAAGCGTCTCCCGTCCCCGACCAGGACGACGACTACACTGATGCTGGGCAGAACCGGGCGCAGGGAGTCGTGCGCAGGCCAGCCTCATTCAGGCAGGCCGTGCCGGCTTCTAATGGGAAGTAATGCGCCCCACTCAGAACCACATTCATGCTTCCCAAATTGCACTGGCACGCTAGACCTTAAATTGGTACCTTCTAGTCTTGCCTGATAACATTCCCATCATGGCGCAAGCCAGTCTGCTTGGATTGGATGGCTTTGCTGACCACCCTATCACTGAGAATAAAAACTGTACTGCCACCTGACCTTTCCAGATTCACTTGCTCTCATGCAGGAACTACATAAGGAAGTTTCACCTTGATGCTGCGCCAACTCGCCAGATTTCATACGGCAACACAATTGGAGGCAGTAATATTGCACCTTGGAAGTTAGATAATTCAGCACATCTAACCTCCACGAACGGGAACAAAAAGCGTCAAGATTGAAGCTCTGCTTCCGAATGTAGCACCCCACTTCTTGACAAGAAGGCATCAAAAACGAAGCTGGTCGGTTCAGCACAATATTGTAGCATCCCATGCTATGTTTGAACTGGCACACTGTTTAAAGCACTACAGTGACCACTTGTTTAAGCTTGACTGTCGTACATTTTTTCAAGTCTTTTTTAGAAGCATTGTACTGTTGGGGTAATGCTTGCCTAACGCCGACACCTAAGGAAAGTTCCAATTTGATATTATTTTCACTGTGTACATACGAGTGTTGCAAACTGCTTGTTAGTGTTTGACGTGTGAAGCACATGAACATCAAATAAAGTTTCTCTGTACGACATATGAGGCACGTCCTTTATTCATTTACATCAAGTATATACATAGTAAAATATTAAAAGTTCCACCAAAACACACCTGATTTGCTGGAATCTAGAACACAGCGCATCAAAAACGAGTGTGCTGGTGAATAGACCAAAATTCAAATAGGAACAGAGTTAGGCCTAAAGACATAAAATATAATCCACGTGTCCAAGCGTACATCTTCCAATGAATCTGGGCCTGGTTGTAACACAAAGATTGTCCTCATTGGCACATGCTCGCTGGTGCCTCTTCAGCAGCTCTCGGCCAGTCGTTGGATCTGAGACGTCCCCTCGCAAATCTGTAAGGTAATAAAGACGCATTCACCAAGCCCGGAGAGAAGCAAAAACATAAATGTCGATGTAAGGAAGCCTAAAAGGTTAAGAAGCCGATTGTATTGTTACACCCCTGATAACAACGCAAGAAAAGACATCCATCAGTTAAAGCCTTGGATTCTTGAATCACCCTTTCTTCAGCAGAACTTCTACACATCTAAAATAAATCAAGTTTGATTGATGATGCATGCAACAACAATGGGTTATGAAATTAGCAATGTTGAAGCATTAATTGGAACTAAGCATCTATTTTTATACACAAAATTACCACCATTCAAGATTAGTGAGATACTAAATTAGGCATCCTATGGTTTCATTAACATGAATTTCTTGCTATCTTTTACAACATTAAAAATGGCTATAGTCACTTCGGTCATTGAATGCTAAATTTTTAGTACAGAAGCAACATGACACCTGTCAGTTCCAAGTCATGTCTATGGTGAACTGAATTCTGCCAAGGGATACTTCTCAACGCCCTGGTGGTAGTAAAAAACTATGCATAAAACACATTTTAGATTACAGATATTATTTCAGGTTCAAGTACTACACTGCCCTGCACAAGCTGATATTGAGAGCATGCATTTCTTCATATAATGGGTTCTGGGAAAGAATTAGGTAATGGATGAAATCTAACATGGCATCGCGTAAGTAGAAATAAACCTTAAGAAATTGCAAAGTAATCGGGATTTCTCATTCCCAGTGGTATGGATATTACACACTATCAAGAAATAATGGATATGTGGTGTCGTTCTGCTCCAAAACAGTAACTGTCATCTGGTCTGCCCCTTTCCCAAAAGTGTGTGCTCACAACGTTTCATCACTGTATATGCTATTTCATGCTAATAATGCACTTGTTGCTTGCTCTTAAGGTCATGGCATGTGGCGATGATATAAGACAAGCAGGATACATTATGATTGTTGTTGTAAAACAGAAAAATCACCCAAATAGACTTTTCCTCAAGAGTGCATTTCAGGGGCCCTGCCCTGACAGATGTTTTCAACATGGAACGATGCCAACTTGTACCCAAGGCCTCGGTGAACATGTCAGCGTGGTATAATTCCACTGCATGAAGTAGGCAATTATTATTGTTGTGTGAAAATTTACCAGCTCCCCTTTATCACCAGTCATGGTGCAAGTGAGCCCCGAAAGTTGTATGCGGGCCACGTCCAGCTCCGGAAACACGCTATCTTCGTGCGATTGAGACGGCTCGAGAAAACCCTCCACGCGCCCGCCATATCGGAGGCCATGCCTCATGCCGTGAAGCTAGTGTAGCCACCGCGGTGTGCCGCCACGTGTACATACCACACATGTCTGCATGAGAAGTCATGAAGAATGCATTTAAGGAAAACAGAAGATGCCCGCGGCAATAACATGTCGCAACATAACTTCTCACTGGTGCTTCATTTCCCAGCTATCTCTACCTGCGTGGCTTAAAGGGCGTTCGTGGTCGCTAAAAAAGAAAGCTCTTGCTTCTTTCAGTAACGCCAATCAGGCTATACAGAGCTACACATTCTTTATAAACTCAGGATTCGCTACTGAAGTCACCTTACTATACCATACAAAAAATATGTTATCTTAGAATTTACTCAACTCTGCTGTCTGGCAAATTTTCTAACGTAAGATATTTTCTATTCTTCATGCACAACTGCAGATACATATACCAGTGATTGATTTAGGCTTGCAGTGTTTGAAAAATCAAGGAAATTCAGGGCGCTCCTTTGCGCAGAACAGTAGAATTGCCAAGCACCAGTAGAATTGCCACCTTGGGGCATGAAACACACCACATAAAAAATGTAAAGACACAACTGAAAACATTCGCAGGGTTCCGAACAAATATATGCACAAAAGAACCCTGATTATACGTTCCCTGGTCCAGCGATTACCAAAATTTTACAACAAAACGGTTTGGTCCCATAAATACCCCTAAAACTGATGTGTTAAAACATCTCTTCTACAACATGACTTTATGCTGCATAATACCACAATTCTTTGATACCATCTGAGAAAGAAAACTGTACTCGAACCAAGCGCACGCGAAATATTCGCTGATTCAAAATAACAGTGTCTCTCCATTTAATAATACCATCTTTTCATACTCAGTATATGTGCCAATATGTTGACTATCTGAAAATATAGAGAGCTGGACAAATACTATTTGTCTGCTTAGAAAGTAATGCTTATTTAATTGGTGGTTTATGCATGTTAGCGATTTGGTTTCCTGGCTTTCAGACTACTTCTACACACGGTTCAATCGCGTGCATATTCCAAGCCTGTTACCTAGACAAACTGAAGCTACATGAAGTAGCTCGCTAAAGTCAAGTGCGTCAATGTAGGTTTGGTAAATCTCATCTCAGAAACATCACAGTGCGAGTTTCGTGCCAATCAATTCATTATATTCTAAGACAGTGACGTTTTAGTGGTGCGCATTTCATTAGGACAATCCCAATCATCTGCAAACTTCTATTTGCTCAACTTCTGCATTACTATCAGCCCCATGAAGGGTGACGTTTATGTTCACATTTACTCGCACACACATATAAGCCCCAGCGTTCATACACCAGCTGAATATTTGATCAAAGGTGTGAGTTACGTAGTAAGGAGGACGCAGTGACCTCCCTACTCCAAGCTTCGAAAACGCTTTCCCAAGAATTCTTGATAAAGTTGTCTCATGTGAATAATCTCTTTTATTGAAACTGTCCTCGCTTGGCTGCTACTACAAATACCTCGTAGTTGAAAGGAGAGATCAGAAGGCACCAAGTACAGCACCATTTACGCAAAATATTGGTGTTTAAAAGCGTTGACACCGAGTTACCAGAAGCCTATTGTGCGCTTATGGACTGTTGCGAGTCTGCAGTCTACCCGACGCGTCCCCGCTGACTTGGGTTGCCGAGACGTCAGGGTTACGTCGGACCCGGACTGCTGTGGTAATGTGGAGGGACTCCGGGTCGAGGAGCCGATGCTGACAAGTTGGGTGAAGCGAAAACAAACAGATTTACTGGCACTTAGTACAACTATTTACAACATAGAAGGTTAGAGTTCCGCAAACCACGCGCGTGCTAGAGGAACCATTCAACCAGGCTTCAGAGCCACTTTGTGCACTTTGCAGCATTGTTTTAAGCCCTGTTGGGCTCCTCCATGATTGAAAAGGCAATCACGCATGACGCCACTCACCACGGCTTCAGCCAATACCATACGGTCGTCGATGAGTCATTGGCTGCACTCAATGTTCCTCCGGTTGATTTCACTGAGAAGAGGGGTAGTGGGGTTCATTACATCATTGAAAGTTGGCGGGTGATTGTCTTCCACCATCTCTTCCTAGAAGGCAGCAAAGTATTAGCGATATACTGCTTTCGTCTCCATCTACGAGGTCGGTTGGCCAGGCAGCCTCCCCAAACAAGCCATTGTGGAAAAAAATGACTGTATGGACATTGGGTCACAGTCCGTAGAAGCTACCAAATTTTCATCCCTTTGCTGCTTCCCACCGCTAGACCGCGAGAAAAGCACTGGGGTTCAAGGTCGTGGGAATGCACCCTGTCTGTGCTCCTCATGGACAGCATGTCACCAATGACCGAGAATTACAACAGGACTCACGAGCTGACTCTGACCCGGTGCGGTGGTCTAGTGGCTAAGGTACTCGACTGCTGATCCGCAGGTCGCGGGATTGAATCCCGGCTGCGGTGGCTGCATTTCTGATGGAAGCGGAAATGTTGTAGGCCCGTGTGCTCAGATTTGAATGCACGTTAAAGAACCCCAGGTGGTAGAAATTTCCGGAACCCTCCTACGGCATCTTTCATAATCATATTGTCACGACGCAGACACAGCAGGAGTTCGATATAGAAGAGCTCACTTTAATTAAAATGAAAGGCGCTCGTAAAGAGGACCAGGCAAGAGCTTCGTCTTCCTCTCTGGCTGTGCGAGCTCTCCTCTGCAGGTTGAATGCGGCATTTGCCTCCCTCCAGGAAGAGCATCGACCCGATGCTCGGCTACAGAATACGCGGCGTATGTAGTGGACGTATCACGCAACGGGCTCACTGCATTATGGCTTCATCCGCACAACGTGTACGATTTCAGATTTTTGAGCTCGCGAGGAACTGTCAGGGATGACCTCATAATTCACGTCACTTAGGCGCCGTACATTATTGTAGGGACCAAAGTACTTCTTCAGTAACTTTTCAGAAAGGCCGCGTCGACGAATATGGCTCCAGACCCCCACTTTCTCGCCGGGTTGATAAGTGACGTATCGGTGTCGCAGGTTATAACGTTGTGCGTCGTAACTCTGCTGTCGGGCGATTCGCACACGTGCTAGCTGCCGTGCCTCTTCAGCTCGTTGAGTAAAGGCTTGAACATCCGTGTCTGTATCGCTGCAGTCGTGCAGCAGCATGACATCAAGCATTGTCGTCACTTCACGGCCATAAATAAGACTAAATGGCCGGCTCCGTGTAGTTTCCTGCTGCACTGTATTATAGGCAAACGTCACGTATGGTAGAACGTCGTCCCAATTTTTATGATCCACGTCGATGTACATACTGAGCATATCAGCAATTGCCTTGTTGAGGCGCTCTGTTAAGCCGTTGGTTTGGAGGCAAATGACGCATTCAACCTGCACAGGAGAGCTCGCACAGCCAGAGGAAGACGAAGCTTTTGCCC